CCTGATGGGCTTGGAGATATTTCATTGTCCGTGAAAATAGATGAAGGTGAAGTTTCAAATTTAGCATTACATATTTGCAACATGATTAATTTTTATGTCATGACTAATTTTGAGTCTATTTAATCATACAGAATCAGACAAGTTGATGAATGCAATCTCTATAAGAGATAATCTAGTTTCATCTACCTCGACTTCCAATGTAGCGAGTGGGAGGAGGAACGATGGCAGTGCATCCAGTAGTGCTTGTGGTGATACTTCTGATGTTTCTATGCATGATTGATGACTTCAAAGGTAAGAACTAATGATTTTATTCTACTTGGTTACTTGTGATTAGCTCTAAACTTATTAATCACTAACCATCACTGTTTCGTGTTTATTGTACTATTTTCGAATTCAAAGGTGTCAATTGTCCAAGAGGGAAGAGCCAAGAAGCAAGACCTTTGGAGTTTGTACAAGTTATGCTTGGAATTTAGACATTGGTTACCTTTCTCTTGTTAGTTTGAACTTAGAACCATTTGTGTTGTAATGAATATTTGGATTTGGAAGAACTTGATGTAATGTAATGTGTTTGTGCTGAATGTGCTTGATTTATCTTCCAACTTGATGTAATTTGTAGGTGGACAATTGATTTATCTTCCAACTTTAAATGCTTGTTTTAATTAATTGTATTTGATAGACATGTGAAATGGTAAGTGGAAATTTATAAATGACATGTGAAATGGAAATAGTGAGCAGCCAGCCCCATGCCAAATTTCCATTTCTAGAAGGCAGCAGGCAAAAACGGGGGGCAGCAGGCAGCAGCTGTGTGTTTCAGTTCTGGCCATTCAAACCGAACGGAGCTATAATTCAGTTCCGTCGAACCGAACCGAATTATAGCTCGGTTCGAATCCGGTTGGGGTGTTGGGTAGATCGGAAATTCGGCATGCTCTAGTTCGGTTTAAATCGAACCGAACGCCCACCTGACCTCATCCGTACTCCTAAAGGTTGAAGTTTATGATTATTTCCCCCCAGTAATTGGGTATCCCTTTTTATAGCTCCGCTTGATCAAGAATGATCAAGGCCATGAAAAACACAACTATTCCATACATACATGGGAACTAAAAAACTGCCTACCTCCAGTACAACCCACTGGCGAGCAAAATCACACTAAACTGATCATTACCTAAACTGTACAAATATATCTCCTCTCGTATATCATGAACAAGCTGTTGATTAGTCCAAGATCTCGAGCCTAACACTTTGGCATTTCTTTCCTTTCAGAGCATCCCCACAACCCAACACCAGACTGCTCCATAGAGCAATCCTTTCTCCCCTTGCTGCGTTGTTATTGAGCATATCTGCTCCAAACAGCTCTGCCGTGTCGCATGCCAACTTGGAATGTTAGGGAATATCTGCAAAAAAAAAAAAAAATCTGAAGGGTATGGGCTAAAACAAAATAGATGATCCCTTGTTTCGCTTGATCCCCCACAGAGAATGCATTCATCACTATCAATGTTTCCCCAAACCAACAACTTATCTTTAGTTTATATTCTGTCAAGTATCACTAACCAAGTAAGTAATTTGTACCTTGGAACACATAACTTGCCCCCAAAAAACTTTATGCCACTCAACCACAGGTTGCTTAGATCGAATAGACTGCCAAATTTTCTAGCCTAAGAACTTCACCATCTGCTGACCCTCCCAGTACACCTGACCTAGCCCCTGAGTCGTGAACCGAAATTGGAACCAAGGTCTAAGTTTAAGCAGACTCTTCCAAATCCCTGAACAAACATGCCACGCACGCCACATTCCATGTCTCAAGATCTTTTAAGCCTAATCCACCCTCCTTCTTCGGCTGACCAATAAACTTTCATGCTACTTTAGCTTTACCAGTTCCTTCAGCATACCACAAGAAGTCTGAACAGACTTTCTGGATTCTCAAAATAATCTGCTTTGGGAGCACAAATATTGCCATCCAGAATTGCACAAGTGCATAGATCACAGATGCCACCAGCTGAACTCTACCCGCATAAAAGAGAGTGGAGGCTTTCCAAGAATGAAGCCTACTTGTGATCTTATCCACAAGGATCTCACAGTCACTGCTTGAAAACTTTCCAGTGAATAAAGGGAGCCCAAGATAAAGAACAGGGAAAGTGCCTTCCTTAAAACCAGTGAACTGCACAACCACCCTTTTATCTGCTTCTAGCTCTCCCCCAAAGAACACCTCAGTCTTCTGAGTATTGCAAACCAAACCTGACATGAGTGCAAATTTATCTAGAACTCTCTTGACACATTCTAGTGCATGAACATACCCCTCAGTGTAAATAAGAAGGTCATGTGCAAAACAGAGATGTGTTAACCACACAGATTTACACCGGGGATGGTAAGGCATGCTGCCCTCCCTTGCTATATTATCAAGCATAGATGACAGGACCTCCATGACAATAGTAAAAAGATAGGGAGACAGGGGGTCACCTTGCCTCACTCCTTGTTTTGCTTCGAAATTGCCAAATAAACTCCCATAGATTGATACACTAAAAGTTGCAGAAGATAAACAAACTTGTATCCAATTAATGAACTTCTGGGGGAAATGCATAAACTTTAGAACAAGAACAAGAACATCCCAATCCACAGAATCAAAAGCTTTCCTTAAGTCCACCTTAACTGCAGTTCTGGATGCAATACCCTTTTTTATAATTGTGAACCAGTTCCGAAGCCATTAGAATATTCTCTAGTATACTCCTACCCTTGATGAAAGCCGATTGATTTAAACTAATCACACTAGGCAATACATCCTTAATTCTATTTGAGATTACCTTAGACACAATCTTATAGATCACATTTAACAAGCTATTGGTCTATAGTAATTTAGGGTCATAGCATTCGGACACTTAGGGCAAAGGGTGAGTGAGGTAGCATTCATACCTTGTGGCAGTCGCCTTGTTGAGAAAAATTCTTGGATTCCAGCCACTACTAATTTACCAACAAGCTGCCAACTTTTCTGATAATAACCAACAGTCCATCCATCTGGACCTGGACTTTTTGTAGGATCCATCTCAAACACAACAACACGAATTACTTCAGCAGTTACAGCTTGACATAAAAATCTTCCTTCCTCCTCACTCAACTTCTTCCTGATTTGTTTCTCCAGATCATAGAGTCCTATTTCACAGCACTGTTATAGTACCAAATAGCTTCTGATAGTAATCAATAGCCTCCTGCGCTATTTCTTCAACTTCTGTTACTTCCACACCTGAGTCCAGTACCAATTTCCTGATCTGTTTTCTAGCTTGGCATATTCTAACTGATGTATGAAAGAAATTCGTGTTGGAATCCCCCGAGTAAGCCAATTGATGCATGATTTCTGCTGAAGAAAACTCACTTCAACCTGCTCTAGATATTGCCACTCCTTTGTGCATCTAGCTTCCTTAGCGTATGAATCCGGACACAGATTCGAGAGAGCTACTAATTGCACTTCTTTCATCTTCTCAACAGAAAATTTAATCCTACCTCTTATGTCTGAGAAAGCCTCCTTGTTTAGCTATTTAAGCACATACTGAGTTTGCTTGAGTTTCCTTTTGACCCCAGCTAAAGCCCAAGGGTCTTCTAGTTGGTCCCAAATCCCTTTAAGAAGCCCTGAATATGCTTCATGTGTAATCCACATATCAAAGAATCGAAAAGGTTTAGGAGGGACAACAGAATTGTCAATTTTTAGCGGTTGGATCCCAGGCTCCCATCGTCGCAAGCATAGCATGATCTCCTAGCAGTGCCAAGGCCCCCTTCAAAGACCCAGCTACACACCTCCTTTGATGGAAACTGGAATATGACAAGATGATCTCCAAACCCCAAAACTCGCACTCCTCTTTGCGTCCCCAGATCCAATTCGCCCACGAGCGGAGAATTCCCAGCGGTGTTGTCTTGCCCAGAAACTGCCCAACCAAGCTGTTCTTCCATCGTTGAGATCCTTCGTCAAATAATGATTTGGGAATGCACAAAGATTCATTCACAAAATCAGGCTCAAAGTACTGAAGCCTGCCCTCTTTCGGTACCCTAAATAGAGAAGCCCATGAGCGGCCACCACCAACAGCGCTCGTCGAGGCACCATCGACGATGGCAGCCATCATCAGATCAATCGAGCTCACAAAGAGAACTGTAATTACAGTGTGAGCGGCGTTACCAATTATAAAATAATTTCCGGTAATGAATAATAAAATAAATGCATCATCGGAATATACTCGATATATTTGGTAAAGAAATCTCTAAATTATGAAGAAGAATCAAGTAACATAATAAAAAGACAAAACACATAGTCGAAATTCACATGATCAGAATAATGGACATAAATCACACCCATCTGTAATATGCGTGATATATTTATTAAAAAACCTGAAATATAATTAAGAAGAATCAAAAAGCATAAACCAAAAAGAGTTCTAAAATAGGTGTAATTGCTCAACATCGTGGTTAGAACCACTTGCTTTGATAAGCTCTCGGAGGGATCTTTCTCCAGTTGAACCTATGATTTCATGGGAATTGCAAGGGCTAGCAATGTCCCCAAATTAAAATCCTTGAACAAATAACGACAGTGCAAGATTGGAAGGATAGAAGAAGGGCCTCCGAATCTCCAAGAGTTCGATGAGGAAGAGGATCTCTGACGGCGGCGAAGCGGTGGAGGAAGAAGAAGAGGAGGAAGGAGGGAGGGTAAGTGGGCATTTTCCCCCCCTCATTTTCTAAATATTATTTGTTTATTACAACTTTAAATAATTTTTTAAAATATGAATTTCTTATTTGACATATATGTGGATGCAACTTAAACATCACATAAGCAACGGTAAAAAATAAGTTGGTCACGATTAGGTCAACAGTTAACTAAACAGTAGGATTCCCCATCTTAATTAGCAAACTTTTCATAAGGAATAACAAGTCAAAATACTACTACTAATATTTTTGGAGCTACGTATAAGATCACCCATATTAATTATAATCACATGCATATATATTCTAGACCGATAACCATCTTTCAGCTAACTTAGTTTCGTCGGGACCAACAAGGGTTAGCATACAAGAATTTTACCTATTGTCCATTAACTCACTCCAAGGAAAAGTGGCATTCCCCAGGATTTAATAGCAAGGGAAATATTAACCCTTGATAGAGTTTCCTAAAAATTTGTAACAAGGGTTATTTTTTGGGGTTTAGAATTTAGAAACCCCTGCTAGGTAGAACATAATTTTCCTCCTAGCTCTCTTCCATTCCCCAGTTTACGACCTGGAAAAATCCTAAATTGACCATCCCTTTTCGACGCCTTCTGCATTTACTCTCCCATTCATCCACTTCTCTAGCCGTCATCGTGAAAGACCCCTAAAGGAAACGAACCTCAAAATCTCCACTCTGCTCCTCGCCGAGACAAATTTGCGATTACCTTGAGCCTCTGAGTCTCTGACCGCCAGCATTGATTCTCTTCATCGCAAGTGCCATAATCTCCGTCGCTTGGGTCATTAACTTCAATGCTTCCATTCAAGCTATTTCCCTCCTTCTCCAGCAACACGATTTTACGAAACTCGTAGTGTTGATTCACTAGGGTTTGATTGTGATACAAGGCCACAAAAAGCATCAATTTCGACAATCGATGAGCATATCTGGAAGATTGACGGGAAACCTACCATGGCAATATTGATTTGCAGAATCAACTTCTTCTCATTAGAGGAAGATATTATGCTTAGATTGATTTTCACGATGTTCTCCATCGCCGTCTCCAACCAATTATAAAAAGATTGAAATTCTGGTAGAGGAAGGCGAATTTGATTTCTAAAGACGCCACTCTGTTGACCTCGGTCCTCCACTTGTCTTCCTCTACGCTGTCGACCTCTCAATTCTCTCGTTCCTCCTTTCTAGTTGAAGTTGGAGATGTCAATTCTCTTTATCGTTGGCATCTTCGAACTGATGGGCTCCTAATTCCTTCAATGGATTTTCAGTTATTCCTATTTGAAGGAAGGATGTAGGTTATCTGCAGTACACCCAAGTTCTTTGGATTTTGGGTATGTTCTTGACCTGAGGTACCTTGATTTTGTCAGATTTCAATCGTAATTAATGACTACTTTGGAACATGAACTTCTTCTTATCTCCTAGCTCTGCTTATATAGTTGTCAAAGAATGTTCTGTGTTAGTTGTTGTTTCATTCTAATGATGCTTATGGGTAGGATATTCTATTTGAATAAGAGCTTTGTTAACTAGAAGAGGATCTAATGGTGGTGGATTGGTTCTCCTTTAGTTTATGGCATTGAGTGAATTTGACAATAGGTGGGAGTTTTGTAAATTTGCAAGCAGCTGAATGACAATGAGTTCACTGCAGTGTTATTTCCCTTCCACACTTAATTGTAATAATAGTAGATAATGAGATATCAATATGAACCCGTTTGCACCGATGTTTGATTATTGCATGACTGGTTTGGTTAGCTATAGAAAGCATTTGGTTCCTTAATGCTTATGTCATTTTGCAACATGTAGCTTGTAAGGAGCCATAACCTTTGCATATGATATATATGCGACAGGTTTTAGAAGAATGGGTGTATGTGTTGGCCATCATTTTGGTGGTAGTAATTATATCTCTTACATCTAAATGGTAGAATTAGTATTTATATTTCCTATTTTTGATACTCAAGAATACTCATCTGACTATTGCCAAAATGAGAACATGTTTCTGATTGCTACTTCTAAATTTGTTCAGGTTTCCTGTATTTGCATCGAATTCTGGGTCGGCCGCTTAGCTTAGGACAAACATTTCATCGTACAGGTTCAATGTGGTATACAGTCTAAGCCTAATAACTTTGATTTGAATTAATTTTATATTATTATCAAGGTTAGTTGAAGATGTTGGTTTTCTTCCATTGTTCTTGAGTTCAGGAGAGCACAGACATCTAAGTGAACTTGTATGAATTAGGATACATGGTATGTTACTGTTCATGAACTTGTTTAAATCTCTGTTAAGTTTGATATGTCCATTGTTATGATCGATTGATGTGTTCTATTATCCTGGTTTTCTAACATGGACGAGTCCCAAAAGGCGGGAAGAGCAATTGGGTCATGTATGAGTACTTCCCCATATGATGTAAATACATCTTGCTGTGTCACGGAAGATCCTCCTGTCTATTTCGTCTGGTACGATCTCAATTTCATTTGTATTATGCCATAATCTTTCTTTTCTAGTTTCCAAATTCCTGTTACAAAATCCTCAAAAAATTTCTTAAAGAAGGATACATAAGGCGCAGGCTAACACTCTATAGATGCTTGACCTTTCTGCTCAGTCAGTTTCCCAAGATTGGACTGCGTATCACTTTTCCTGATTCCCTTTGCTCATATGCACCAAAACCAGGTTTGTAATTCTCTAGGGGTGGTTCTCCTACTTGTTTCTGTGTCCATGTTATCATTCAAGCATGCTATAATTAGTTATTTTGAACTCTGAATGCTTAGATAAGGAGATGGGAGTAGGTAACATGCTGGCCAGTGCTTGCCAATCTTCTGCTTTAATTTTGTATCTTTATTAAATTGTGAACTTCCTTGTATAGATATAAGTCCTAGCCCGATTTTAATCATTGCACCCCATTCTATTGAATATTTGTTGCCGTATTAGCACTCAAATCTCCACATTATCTTTGGCTTGCTAATGCTCCTTCTGGTTGCCTTCTTCAGATTGTCCATTAATTAAGGTTTATGTTCGGAAAATAGCTGTGCAAGCTCCTTTTGCCTCGATGACGAAAATGATCCAAACCACTACTGTGGACGGGTCCTTACCTATCCCACAAGTAATGATACATTTTTTTTCCACCTGGTTTTTCAATTACAGATATTTTGCAATGAATCTGGAGATGGTTAGGAATGTACTAAACCAACAATATTATCGTGAAGAGAATGTTGATGGGTTGTGAGAGGAGACCTGGTGCATGAGATTTTGCAGCAACAACACGATCTTTGTAGCAAAAGACACTTGGGAGTTGTTGCTGCAACATGGTTATTTACTTAATTGCTTAAAGAGGCAATTGATGATTAGTTAGTGATGTGAAGCATAATTGTCTGAAAGTTGGACTCAGATGGTTGAGTTTAACCTTGATAATGAAAGGGATATTGCTACTGAAAGATTGAATTAACATACATGGTTATTTGATTAGTTTCAGCAATTTTATACCCAAAACTGTGTGCTCTTTTGAGCCGTTTTCTCTCTCCAAATTTGTCTTTGGTTCAGTATTTGGGTGTTGGGATCAAGTTTGATTGCTATTGCACATTTGCACTATCATTGGTTCTGTTAAATATGTGGTTATTTTAAAAGGGAAAGTACTGCTAAAGTTTCTATAGTGAATTGTTGGTGGAGAGTCACTAATCATCTTCTACATATGCAGTAAATGACTTGCTTCATTAGAATGGAGGTCTGTTTCCTCTGCAGCTCCTCATTTTGATCGTGTTACTATGTTGTAGATGTGTTATCCTACTCAATTTCATAAGAATGGAGGTCTGTTTCCTCTACTTCACTTGTCATCTTAATTATACGTTTGAAACCCTTAGTGACTCCTGTATGCTTCAGTTTTTCTTGCTTTGCATATAACTGAAATGGTTATCAATTTTCACTTCAGGTGGGAATGAAATAACTAGGTTCGGTGGGCTACCAAGGAGAGGTGCTTGTGAAAGGCGAAAGATATTTCAAGGGGTATTTTTCTTTGGCTTTAAAGATGTTAGATCCTGAGTAGATGATTAGGTTCTTTGGAGTACATAGGATATTATGAGTAGTAAACTATGTTTCTTTGGATTATGTTTGAATATTTATAGTTATTAGCATTTTACCATGTAAACAATATTATCTTGGATCTTGGATCTTGGATCATGAATCATGAAATATTTATGGGTATTATGTACTGTGTGATTTGGCTTCCAAGAATGACATTTATAGAAAAACTTGCAAAACAAACAAAAAGCTTGGTCCTGGATTTATTTATAGTGACCAGAGTATTTGCAACCAAGATTTGGTCGCTAATATTGGTGGTTTTCTTTTAGCGACGGTTTTGAGTTTGTTCCAAAAATTTACCAGTATGTTTAGTGACTGTTCTGAGTTGGTTACAATTGATTTAGCAACAAAAACACCCTTGCTAGTTAGAACAACGATTTAGCAGGGGGCTTAACCCCTGATACAAACATCTCACTATTGGATTTTACATTGAATTGTTGCATGGGTTTTTAACTCTTGATACATGTAGCAGGGATTTGAAACCCCTTCTAGAGTCCTTGGATGAAACTTTCACCGTGGGTTGATAAAAACCCTTGCTACACCTAACAGGGGTAGCATTGGCGAGGGTTCATGCAGAGGTTGCCAAAACCCTTGCTACAACTTGTATGAGAGGTTAAAACCCTTGCTATAGGTAGAAAAAGCCCTTTGCCATAGACCCTTTTTTTAGTGTTATTAAAGCCGAGCCGAGCCGCTCGGCCCGACCGGTAAAACCGTCACCCAGTCACAAAACCGGCTCGAAACAGTCTAAAAGCCGCTCCGATCTTATGTAGCGACCGAGGCGGTTAACCGCTCGAGCCGATTGAGCCGCTCGTCCGGTTTTTGCCACTCAGCCACTAAATTTAATTAAAAAAATTGCAGAATATTGAAAATTGAAATAAACCAAAAACGTCGGCCTCTTAAACTGAATCCTTATTTCCATTTCACAATTTCGAAGGAAAGAGATGAGCTCTGATTAAGAAATGTCCACTATTTATACTGACACCGTTAATTAGGTACCGGTTCTTTAACGGTTTTTAAACGGTCTAATGCCGATTGGACTACTAAAGTGCGAGCCATTCGCATTACCGGGTCATGCTCCGGTTCGGTTCTGACAACATTGCTTTTTTTGTAGTGACTATGCTTTGGGTTAGGTTGGTGTACTCATAGAGTATATTGTACTCCAGATACTTCTAGTTTTATTTAAACCAAACATAAATTAAATTAAATTGAGTTTGAGATATGATGTAATATCTTAACCGGACAAACCCTCGACCCATTCTCTAAACCCAAATCCAAAATTCAGCTTAAAGAAAACAATAATTGATTGTTTTAATTGATCGAAACTTATCGAATCACATTTAACGAGCAGATTATATGAAGTGTATTGTATTCCTGAAGTAAATATCTTATATAAACAGGATTAGATTGCACACCACATGCAATGACATCACCCTCTCCAAAATTGTAAAAGAAGTAACTTTGTTTTTTCTTCCTAACTACCCCACCTGCATGCAGCAAGTTTATGCGTAAGGAAATGAACTACTTAATTATCACAAACAAGTCACAAATTTTTTCTAAACCATATCACATTCCACTGCCTATGTATACATCCCCACCTCCACAACCTTTTCCATCATCACTACAAAAAAACCCAAACAAACCATCCTGAACTCTCCTCTCCTGCATACAACCACGAAGATCAAATAAAAAAACATGGCTTCTTCTTCTTCTTCTTCTTCTTCTTCTTCTTCTTCTTCTTCTTCTGCTTCCAAGTTGTTCCTCGTTGCTGTCTTCCTCGCCGTCGCAGTCTGCAACATGGAAAACGGAGTGGCGGCTCGACAGCTCCTTCAACTGCCACAACCCGCACTGCCTCCTATGCCAACCATCCCAGCGGGGTTGCCATGCACACCACTCCCAATTCCGGTGCCGTTCCCAATCCCACCATGCCGACGACCGTTAATTCCTACCAGGCCAACCCTGCCGCCATTGCCCAGCGGTTTTCCTTCCATCCCCGGCCTTACCCCGGCAGCTGGTCCCGCCGGCAACTGAGTGGAAGTCGCTAGCTAGTTACTACTATATATATGTTGGTCGATATTATATAATGTGTTTCGGAGTTGACGATGATTGCAAGTTGTACGTTATGCCCCCTTGGGATTACTAGTCTTAGTCTAGAGGGCTAGCTCATTGTTTGTTTGGTTATTATTTGAGTTTCATGGGTTGTATACTTCTTTGTACGTAGTACTATTGTACCTCGTATCATTTGTCCGTTTCTCGTTTTTTATTTATTTATTAATCATATCACTTCGTTGTTATTCGTACGTGTACACATGATGCAATTGATCTATTGGATGTTCTCATATATTTTCGGATAAAATGACCAGAAATGATAAATGCTGATGGAACGTCGCGACTTGCCTTAGAATTTAGAATTGATCAATAGATAGCACGATGTGACCCCAAAAAAAAAAAAAATTCAACTATACAAAGTGACTTAATCTATCATTATGATTCGTCATTCATAACGATGACACTTAAAATATGTCAGTGATCCGTTTCATAACGTAACACAACAAATTTATCGTATTTTCTTAGGGTCTCTTGCAAAGCCTTACTTAGGAATCTTGTAGTGTATGTTGATTCGACATAAACTTTCATTGTTCACCAAATATTTCAAAGTTGATGTTATTTTGTACATCACAATCAATTCGATTTTTCTATGAAAAAATTGAAGTTCAAGTTCGAACAAAGTACACATAGGCAGGATCAATTATAAATTTATACAAGAAATCGTATCATTTTCCAATGAGAAACTAACACTGTTTGTTTAACGGTGCAAATTGTAGGGATTAATTGGAATATGCAAGACATTTGTGCTTGTCTGTTAGTTTGCTACAAGAGTTGTGAGTGCATTGAGAGAGTAAAGGTACCTTACCATTCAACTCCCAAATTAGGGTTGAAGAGATTTAAAGGAAATGATTTTTTTTCTTCCTAAATTGTCTCTTTTTTTTCTCTTTGCCTCTTTCCTTTATGCACAAACCTATCCACTCTATACCCAATAAATAAAAACATTCTATAAACCCAAAATCAATTACTATAATAATAATCAGGGGGACCTATGTGTATGAAAGGTTTGTCAATTGACACACCTTGTTTTAGTTTTGGAACACAAATTCTTTGTAAAATTTTGTATTTTAGTGATGATAGTATTTGAGCTAAAGACTTTTTAACAACCCTTAGTAATTTTGTTTAATTGTTGAATTAATTTCTGGGTCCGCCACTGATAATCATAATATTTTATTTAATATAATAATTCATAATTACACATAAAAATGATTATTATTCATAAAAAAAACATACTATTGTTACTAGTCCCTAATGATACGCCTATTCTTAGGTCTTAGGGCTGATAGTTTGATTTATTCATAGGGTTATACGTGTTTGTTCTATTGTATTCATCACTTGTACTATTTGTCCGTTTCTCAGTTACCTTTGAGTTGTATATCACCTCTTTATGGTTTCTTACTTGTGATTTTGGTTACATTTCTCTCATCTTCGAATAAACCGACTGGAGATGATAAAATATTAAACCAATCCACACTCGATCGATACATTGAAGCTGATAGATAGATCAAGATGACCCAACCCAACAATATGATCAATGATATATTTGAAAAAACTTAAAACTATATTGATCCTTCGTCTATAATGTCATTCAATCTATACTACTTTATATTTGTCCTCATTCCATCGTAACATCAGATGGATTGTTAAAAGACGATTGAGTTGTGTTAAGAAATTGTTGCTCTTAAAGTTAGAGAACACGGTAACACCACACCCACAAAACAGATTAGATGATTGATTATTGATTAGGAGTGCTAATATAACAGTATTGTTACAAACCATAACTAACCAATAGAAGGAGCTAGCTAGCTAGCTAGCTTGGCGCACAAGTTAGGGCTTTCAAAATCTTGGGTATCATTCTCTTAGCAATCTGCTTTGAAGCAACTTGTGAGATATGCCATTCGTCCCAAAACACATATTTCCCTGGCTCCTTGCGCGGCCTGGACCCTCGTTCGTAATCTCCACAGAACACCTGAGGACGGTAGTTGTACTTTCCACCAGCTCCACAGCAAGCTACGTTCGTCTTCGTAAACCCTAGAGAAGAAGGGTGCGTGAGAATGGAGACCATGATCTCGTAAATATCCACGTAGATCACGTTGACCTCAGAATGTTGTTCCTGTAACTCGACAAGCATTCGTCGAAGGTGGCGATTGTGCTACTTAACGAAATCGTTAACTAACACTGTGTTTAGGTTTGGAATTTTCAGCTTATTTGTTCTCATTGCCTTTCTTCAACTTATATAGCTGACAAGTTGTTGGTTTACAGAACAAGTAAAGAAGACAAACTTGGGAAAGAAGAAAGTATAATCCGATTTGGGAAATTGGACAAAATAAGAAGTTGAGCATCAGTTTGGTAATTCGCATGAGACAACTTGGCTCCAGCTCCTATACGCCGTCGTCTTGGTTGCAGGCTGGGCTTCCTTTGGATACGGCGCCGTCTTCACTCCAACGCTTAGTTCTTCCCGACACGGCGTCGTCTTCATTCCAACGGTCGACTAGTTTGAAGGATGCTCCTCTGCTTCTGCATTCGAGATTGGCGAAGAAAAACTACTGTTTTTCTCTGATACCCCCCCCCCCCGCGGTAAGCTCCTATACGTCGTCGTCTTGGTTGCAAGCTGGGCTTCCTTTGGATACGGCGCCGTCTTCACTCCAACGCTTAGTTCTTCCCGACACGGCGTCGTCTTCATTCCAACGGTCGACTAGTTTGAAGGATGCTCCTCTGCTTCTGCATTCGAGATTGGCGAAGAAAAACTACTGTTTTTCTCTGATACCCCCCCCCCCCCCCCCCCCCCCCGCGGTAAGCTCCTATACGTCGTCGTCTTGGTTGCAGGCTGGGCTTCCTTTGGATACGGCGCCGTCTTCACTCCAACGCTTAGTTCTTCCCGACACGGCGTCGTCTTCATTCCAACGGTCGACTAGTTTGAAGGATGCTCCTCTACTTGCTGCTCTGCTTTTGCATTCGAGATTGGCGAAGAAAAACTACTGTTTTTCTCTGATACCCCCCCCCCCCCCCCCCCCCCCCCCCCCCGCGGTAAGCTGGTGGCAAATGTTGAGCACACCGAGCTTGGACAGGAGATGAAGGAATGTAGCTGGCGGGAGTGGTTTTGTGAAGAGGTCTGCAAGTTGGTGAACTGTGGAAACATGTAGAAGTTTGATTGTGTTAGAAAGAACCCTGTCGCGGACGAAGTGGCAATCGAGCTCGATGTGCTTCGTCCGCTCATGGAATGTTGGATTCTCTGCGATGTGGATGGCTGATTGGTTGTCGCAGTAGAGGATGGCTGGTTGGAAGTGGGGAATTTTGAAGTCTTGAAGGATGTAGAGCAGCCATTGAATTTCATAACTGGTGTGGCCAAGGGCCCTGTATTCAGCTTCACAGGATGATCTTGATATGGTCGTTTGTTTCTTGCTTTTCCAGGAAATCAACGAGTCGCCAAGGTAGACACAATAGCCAGTGGTGGATCGTCTTGTGTCGACGCAGGCAGCCCAGTCAGAGTCACTGAATGCTTTGAGTTGGAGATTGGATTTGGCTGAGAAGAAGAGACCACTAGTTGGAGCTGACTTCAGGTACTTTAGGATTCGGAGAACTGCTTTGTAGTGATCATTGCTTGGGTTGGCCATGAATTGGCTGACTTGTTGGGTTGCATAGTTGATTTCTGGCCTTGTGGTAGTTAGGTAGATTAGCTTGCCCACCAATCTTGTGTATAGGGTTGGGTCATTGAAAGGATCTGAATGATTAGATGATAAGTGTCCCTTGTAATCCATTGGTGTAGTGACTGGTTTGCAATGTAAAAGATCAGTTTCCTCAAGGATCTCTAATGTGTATTTTCTCTTATTGATGTGAATTCCTCTGGCTGATCTTGCCACTTCAATACCCAGAAAAAATTTTAGATTTCCCAAGTCCTTGATGCTGAATTCATGATGCAGAAACTGTTTGATGTGATTGATCTCCTGCATACATGTTCCTCCAATGATCAGATCATCAACATAGACTAGTATAGATGTATAGGTGGAACCTGTGGCTTTGTAGAACAAAGAATGATCAACTTTGCTGGGTTGGTAGCCTTGAGAGATAAGCTTGTATGCAAGTTTGGAGAACCACTGTCTTGAGGCCTGTTTGAGTCCATAGAGTGATTTTTTGAGGAGACAGACAGGTGTCTTCATGCCAGTAGGTTCTTTGTATCCAGGTGGGAGTTTCATGTAGACTTCTTGGTCTAGGTCTCCATGGAGGAAAGCATTGTTCACATCTAAATGATGAACATGCCAATTCCTTGCTGCAGCAAGAGCAAGGAATAACCTGATTGTTGTCATTTTGACTACTGGGGCAAACGTGTCCTGGTAGTCTACTCCCTCTTGTTGACTGTAGCCTTTGGCTACAAGTCTGGCCTTGAATCTGTCAATTGAGCCATCAGGATTGAATTTGATTCTAAAAACCCATTTGCAACCTATGGCTCGTTTGTTAGCTGGCAATTCAACCACTTCCCAGGTTCCATTAGAATCAAGTGCTGCTAGTTCTGTGTTGACAGCACAATCCAATTCAGGTGATAAAATGGCCTCTTTGTAAGTATATGGTTCTTTATGAGAGGAGATGCTCAGAACAAAGTGTTGGTGAGAGGGAGATAGATTAGAGTAATCTAGAACTGTGTTGAGGGAATGTTTGGTACCTGAGATATGCTGCTTGGGAGGATGACTGGTTGAGTGATTCTACTGGAGGAGGTTGCAGTGGTATTGTTGGAGATAGGTAGGTCTTTTGGTGTGTCTGGTTGATTTCTTTGTTGGTTGGATAGGTGGTTGTTGGAGTGGTGGGGATGGGATGGTTGGGGTGGACTGTGGTGGTGATGGAATGGCTGGGGGGAGGTGAGGGGTATGATCCATGCTGTCATCACTGTCATAGTGGGGTGGACTAGTGATAGTAACTGGATTGGAGTTAGTAGGTGATGTGGAAGGCAATGGATCATCATAGAGGATGGGATTGGGTGGAGGGCTGTAAGGTTTGTTGGGATCTGGTGTTGTGTCTATGAATGGGAAATGATGTTCATAGAAATGAACATCTCTGGAAGTGAATACTTCATTTGTAGTTAGGTCATATATTTTGTAGCCCTTGATGCCTGCAGTGAAGCCAAGGAAAACACCTTTCCTGGCTCTAGAATCAAATTTTGTTCAGTGATTTTTTAAGGAACTGGCAAAACAAAGGCATCCAAAAACTTTTAGTTCTGATAGGTTAGGTGGTTTGTGAAAGAGGATTTCAAATGGTGTTTTATTGGCAAGAACAATGGAGGGGACTCTGTTGATGAGGTGAACAGCATGTTTGACACAGTCACTCCAAAAACCAGAAGGTAGATTGGCTTGGAATTTGAGAGCCCTGGCAACAGCACGGATGTGTTGATGTTTTCTTTCAACCTTGCTGTTTTGCTAGGGTGTTTCAACACAGGAAAGTTCATGAAAGATTCCAATTGAGTTAAAGAAATCTGTCATTTGAAATTCTTTTCCTTGGTCACTTCTGATTCTTTGGACTGATGTTTGAAACTGGGTTTGAACATAAGAACAGAAATGTTGAAGTTTGGATCTTGCTTCTGATTTGGAAGAGAGTAGAATAATCCAAGTCATCCTAGTAAAATCATCTACAATGGTTAGAAAGTATTTAAAATCATCATAGCTAGGGACAGAATTAGGACCCCAAAGATCCACATGTATCAGTTGGAAAGATTGTGTGCAAACAGAGTTGCTACAAGTGAAAGGCAGTCTTTTTTTCCTTGCAAAATGACAGACATCACATGGAAATGACTTGTCAGTATGAATAGAAGAACATATCTCTCTCAGGGAAGGGATTTTGGAATGAGAAACATGGCCAAGTCTGTAATGCCATAGGTCAAAATGATTGAAACTTGCAGCAGTGATGTGTTTAGGTATAGTATATAAGGGTTGGGAATCAATGAGGTAAAGTCCTTGGTAGAGCCTAGCAGAACCAGTCATCCTCTTCTGCTGCATATCCTGGATTTGACAAACATTTGAGAAGAAGGTTAGACATAGAGAAGTTGTGGTGGTCAGTTTGCTCACTGAAATTAGATTGAAGCTAAACTGTGGTACAAAGAGGGCTTCTTGTAGAAGTAGACCAGGAATACAAGTGACAGTGCCTGTATGAGTGGCTTGTACTTGTTCACCAGTTGGGAGTGTAATGTAAACATCATGAATGATTCTGGGAGTGGTTAGTAGCTCAAGGGAGCAAACAACATGGTCTGAAGCACCTGTGTCCAGGATCCATTTGTTGTTGTAGGGTAGTGTGGTATCAACATTCAGTGTGAATTTACCTGAAGTATTTGTAAATGTAGCAACAGTAAAGGCAGAACTGGAAGGCTGAGATGGACCTTTGTCTTTGACTAGGTTCATGAGCTTGTCAAAGTCAGCCTTTGTGAGCTTGACTTCTTGGTTGGAATCATCAGGTAGGTTGCTGGAAGTGGAGTTGACAGAGCTTCTACCACGACCAACAGCAGTAGAGGATTTGGGTGGGAAACCATATTTGAAGAAGCAACGTTCCTCAGTGTGGCCTTGACGTTTGGAGAAGGTACATTCATAGGATTTTCTTGCAGGATTGCTGGGTTTGGTGGACACACTAGGTGGCCAACCATGTTTGTGGTAATAGGTGTCTTCAGTATGGCCATCAATCTTGCAAAAAGTGCAGTGAGGGCGAGGCCTTCTGTTCTGGAAGTTGGTGTTTCCTTGAGCGGCTAAGGCCATGCTGTCGGTGGTAAGGGGCTTTCCATTTTGGTTTCCATTTAGTTGTCTTTCATGCTGAAGCATGCGTTGGAAGACCCTATCTATTGGTGGAATGGTGTCATCAAATAGCACTTGAGATCTAACAGTTGAGAAGTTGTCATTGAGGCCTCTTAAAAACTGAATGACATAGTTGGTATCTCTATAGAGGAAGGCTAGTTTCATGGCATTGCAGGTGTTGACACTGTCTTGAGTGCAGGTGCAGGGTTCAAGGGGTTATAGTTGTCAAGCTCGTCTTTTAGGGTGATGAGATTGCCATAGTAGTCAGTGAAAGAGAGAGTACCTTGCTTGAGTGTGCAGAGGGATTCAATGAGTTCAGCAATGCGAATCAAATCACCTTGGCCATACCGTGCACGCAGACTACGCCATGCTTCAACAACTGTTTTGCAGGACATGATTGTCTTTCGGATTGCAGGATCCACAGCTTGCTGGATCCAGGCCAACACCATGATGTTGTTGCGTTTCCAGGAGGTGGACTGGTCACTATCATCTCCTGGATCTGGAATGCTTCCATCGATGAAGCCAGTCTTGTTTTTGACTCCCAGGGCGTTGAACATTGCCTTGTGCTAGTCATTGTAGTTTGTGGTAGTGAGTTTCTCACTGACCAGTTGAGATCCAAGTTGCTCACTACCATGGAGGTAGTAAGGATCAGACATTGGATCTGTGTTTGGTTGTTCCATGGGTGGCGGCTAGGGTTAGAACCCTTGAGGCTCTGATACCATAACACTGTGTTTAGGTTTGGAATTTTCTGCTTGTTTGTTCTCATTGCCTTTCTTCAGCTTATATAGCTGACAAGTTGTTGGTTTACAGAACAAGTAAATAAGACAAACTTGGGAAAGAAGAAAGTACAATCCGATTTGGGAAATTGGACAAAATAAGAAGTTGAACATCAGTTTGGTAATTTGCCAGAGACAACTTCGCTCCAGCTCCTATACGCTGTCGTCTTGGTTGCAGGCTGGCTTCCTTTGGATACGGCGCCGTCTTCACTCCAACGCTTAGTTCTTCCCGACACGGCGTCGTCTTCATTCCAACGGTCGACTGGTTTGAAGGATGCTCCTCTGCTTGCTGCTCTGCTTCTGCATTCGAGATTGGCGAAGAAAAACTACTGTTTTTCTCTGATATTAACCTCCTCGAGACGTCCTAGTTTATCATAAGTCAGGTTCTTGTAGACTTTGGGCAGGCACGTGAGGAGCGAGGGCGTGCATCCGTAGGGGTACAATCCATGGACAAATACTTGTCTCGCACCTATACGCTGTCGTCTTGGTTGCAGGCTGGCTTCCTTTGGATACGACGCCGTCTTCACTCCAACGCTTAGTTCTTCCCGACACGGCGTCGTCTTCATTCCAACGGTCGACTGGTTTGAAGGATGCTCCTCTGCTTGCTGCTCTGCTTCTGCATTCGAGATTGGCGAAGAAAAACTACTGTTTTTCTCTGATATTAACCTCCTCAAGACGTCCTAGTTTATCATAAGTCAGGTTCTTGTAGACTTTGGGCAGGCACGTGAGGAGCGAGGGCGTGCATCCGTAGGGGTACAGTCCATGGACAAATACTTGTCTCGCACCTTTACTCACCACCTCCTGCGAACGTACCAAAAAACGGTTCTTAATGATGAGCGGTTATCAAAAGTTCGTCATGAAATATATGATATTAAGCGTGCGTACCTTGATAGCGTCGATAATCTTGTTTATGACTACGGGGAGCAACGATTTCCTGGCTTCTTCAATAAATGCGGAGAAAGGGATGGTTTCCTCGTGAACATAATGAGTGCTCGACTCCACTTTTAGTAGGAAAAGTGTGTAGTCATTTCCTCCGATCTCGATCGACATTAGCGACGATTTGAGCATCTCTGCTTGGTGATCTATCGACAATGGGCGCAAAAATCTTGACAAGACACTACAAGAAACAGAAGCTTTTGCGACTTGAAGAAGCTTTTGGATCTAGGAGAAGACGTCGGGAACTAGGTATTACGAGGAATTGGGAAAGGGGTTTGATTTTGGAGCTAGGGATTTTTTTCCCGAAGGTCAGAGATGATGTGATGATGTAAAGATTTTAAACAAATAAATAAATGCAAAAGAGAAAAGAAAAAAAGGCCACCACAAAGCGACACAATTCCATCATAAATAGACCGGTCAACAAAACTGGGTATAAAGAGTTGACTATTAAATGTATTAGCGACGAAATTGGTCATCGCGGTTTTTACATGGTCGTCGCACTTATTCTCGCTGCTTTGGCGACAAACGATTGACATCGCCAAATCTCACACAATCTTCTGCGACGAAGACTCTCGTCGCGTAAAGCCAATGACAGTCTCAAATTCAACATCACAGCACTTTCCCGATACTATTTACTATTGTGACGATCGTAAAAAATCCTCGCAAAAGGACGGCTTTTCGCGACGAATTTCTCCCGTCGCTACACAAACCCAGTTTTATTTTGTAGTGAGATGATTTTAGGAAAAAAATAACCTATAGCTTTCAAAGCTATTCATCGATGAGCAAGGAAGGAGTATGACTAGTTTCTTTTATTAATTAGTTAAGTGTATAATCATACCTTTTTTAGGATGAGTTTGTGACAAGTAGCGACGAAACCACTGAAGCTGGACGCCGAGGGTGGCATTGGCAAACGACAAGGAGATGTTCCAACGTTTACGCAAGGTTTCAGAGGAGAGAGCAGTCACGTCGGCAACAGTAAAATTAGCTCCCTTGCTATTACTTTTCACCATGTGGTCCATGTAAGGACTAGGCGACTTAAGCCCCAACGATTTCGCTATCATTGTGGAAACCCTAGTTAGTAAATACTCCCTTTCTTAATACACTTATTTATGAATATACGAATTTTATAAGTTCAAAACTTTTGCTTTTGTATTATTGCAAAATTGTTTTATTTTTCTCCGTTCATTCTACAATCCCCGTACTCCAACACATATGAAAATCATATAACACGTTGAATACTCTTGTTTAATGAATTAGATTAATAATTTAACATTATATAAATTTTATAATATTTATCACCACGAACATAGTGGTAGAAGTACCATTAGTTCATAAATAAGCTAAAATACTCTGTATAAATTTATAAGTAATTTACCCTTATTGATCATATTTTTCAATAAGGATGAAAAGATTTCCAAACGGGCCGTTAAAATGAAATTAATCCTACCTAGTAACAGTTTTCTATAGATGATGAGTTGTAATTAATTAATGACGTACCGATGTAGTCGAGGATGACGAGGCCGTCGGACAATCTGCCGGTGGGTTTACCGATGGTGATCTCGTTGGGGTACTTGCCGACCTAGGACTCCGGGGAGAGGCGGAGGGCGTTGCCGGTGACGGAGAAGGAATCTCCGAACTTGAAAATGCTCCTGATGATGGTATGCTTGCGGTGCTGCTCTGTTTTGCAAGGAGCTACGCGGAAGAGACAGAACAAGAATAGGAGCCTGAACCAGGCGGTGGCTTCGTTACTACAGCTAGTAGGAGTCGTCTTCATCTTCCCCTTAATTTTTTGCACAGGGAAATTAAAGAGGACTATAGGGATTTATATTTCGTTTTGTTGATGGTAGATAAATAAATGAACTGGTTGATTGAGCTTTAATTATGAGTCATAAACATATTCACTCAATTGCCCCGGGGACCTGCCAGGGTAAGGCTGGGGATGTTTAGAATGGATGGAAAACCGCTGGGCAATGGCGGCAGAGACTTTGGGATGAAAGGAATTGTGGGCATGGCATTGTTACGGTATGTGACATAGGGGGATGGCGATTTTAGAATTTTCTCGTAAAAGGAATAAAACGCGAAGAACTCTCAAAGGAAATAACTAAGTAATAACAAATAAAAGAACAAAAGCTAAATATTTTGCTTACAATTTTCTTATCATTAAACGAACGAAACAAGTACATAGTTATAGGCATAGAAGGCTCTACCTTTTCCCATCTAGAATACGACTCCTACTCCTCTAAGGAAATTACTAACAATAACCAAAACCAACTTGAACAAGGTAAACACTAATTAAGACAATAATAGTAAGGACTCAATAATAAAAAAATATGAACTAATAATTAAATACTAAAGATACGCAAGCCCAGTCTTTTACGAAATGCTACGATGACCATATCTCGTAACATCCCTCCCTCCTTAAGCACAACCTTGCCCTCAAGGTTGGTCTTCCTCCTCGATGAACGTGCCCTCCTCCCCTTCACCAATGCGCCAATCATGAGAAGAACGTTGTTATTCATACAAAGGTGGCCAATGGTGAAGCGCTCATCACAATGGAAGCATAATCCTTGCGCACGACATCGAGCTACTTATTCTATGGACATCCAGTGTGCCGCAGGTTGACGAGGTGGCGCAGGGGGTGTTGATGCGGTCGTAAATGAGGACCCTGCCTCCATGCCTTGTCGTGAAATCTCTCGAACCACTGGATGATGCTTGCTAAGTTCTTCATTTTTCACTTTGGTAAGACGAATAGCCTCTCGCACTGTTTCTGGTCGGAACATCCGAATAACATCTGATTTTTTCGGTTTGAGCCCTCCAATGAATGATCCCACCAATGACTCTTCCGTCCATCCATAACATCAATTACCAAGCTTCTCAAATGCCACCAAATAATCATTAAGCGATCCTGTCTGCTTAATTTTGGCAAGAGCCTCATGGCTAGATGCCCCTTCTGCTGGCCCAAAATGTGACCATTCCTTGAACCTTACCCAAGGGATCGACAATCCGGTCGTAGTGTAAGTGCGTTTCAACCACTGCCACCATTGATTTGCATATCCCTCCATGTGATAAGATGCAAGAGTCACCTTGTGCTCCTCTGGGGTTTCCTTTAATCGAAAAATTGTTCCACCCTTGCGATCCAGCCGGATGGATCCTCATTGCCCTTGTACTTGGGAAATTCTAGTTGGGCTAGCATAGGTTTGAACCAGTCCGTCTTTTCCTCCCTTCCACAGCTCGGCCCATGCCGCCCCGGCTCTCCGCCCCAACCCGCCTGCGGAACCAAGCTCCCCTCTTGGCCAGTCAGCCTGCTCTCCTACGGCCATCACCAGGACCTGTTCGTGGTTCTTTGTTGCGACTGGAGTTGCAGTCAAGCTACCGCCTCATTCGTCGAAATCCACCATTCCCTCTAACTGTCGATCCGCTGCCGTGATAGCTTCGGTGCCAATAGTCCGCACCAAATCCGCCTCTGCAAAACCCTCCGCCGTCAGCTTTGTGACGTCGGTGATTTTCTGGTCTAGGGTTTCGACGCTCTCGACCAAACGGTTTAGCCAACCCTCTAAGATCCCAATCAGCTCCTCCATGGCGTGCAATTGTGGCTGAGGATGGTCGGGTTTCGACCCGTAGCCTTTGCTGCTCGTCACTCTGACTTTGATGGTTGTTGCTTACTCGCCAGCTCAAGAACCGAGCTCTAATACCAACTGATACAGTATGTGACGTAGGGGGATAGCATTTTAGGGTTTTCTAATAAAAGAAATAAAACACAAAGAACTCTCAAAGAAAATACAAGATACTACACCATTTCCCAAAAGTCGATTGATTTATACTTATTAAACTTGGCAATACATGTTGGATTCTATTTGCTAACACTTTAGCTATAATCTTGTAAAGCACATTAATACATGCAATAGGACGAAAAGCAGTTAAAGTATTAGCAGTAGGTACATTGGAAGCCAACGTCAGAGATGTTGTGTTCATGCCCTTTGAGAGACTCTTCTCACATAAGAATTCCATAACACCCTAACAGATGTCCTCACCAATAACCAACCAGTTCTTCTGAAAAAATCTCACTAACCATCCATCCTTCCTTGGAGCCTTACAAGGATCCATAGAAAATAATGCTTCAAACAATAATTTCTACGTACACTTCTCGGAGTTTAAACGCAAATCCTAAAATTTCCAATTTTCTCGTCTAAATGACTCACTACATTTAAGTCTGTCTCGTTGAAAGGATGAATTACATCAATAATATAAATAATAACATTAATTGCTTGAATCAGTAATTGTCTGAATCAATTTATGTTTTTATTTAGTACCATAAACAATATTCAAATGATTCAATTAGTAAAAATTCCAGAAAATGACATACATAATAAGTTTTATGACTTTTTTTATCATTCATGAATTTTATTTATCAAAAGTAAAACCTATAACTCATGCAAGAAAAGATATATTCATTGATTTTTTTCAACTTTCGTTTACAGAATTAAATTAACATGATTTTTCTAAACCAATTTTGTTCAAATCAAAATTGAATTGAAAAGAGATATCGATTGAATTTGTACGAAATTAAAAACCCCTTAACTATAACTATTGAGATTTGTGTCATCCGTAATTAAAGGAGGATATGAGCGATCTGGAATACTGTTTTTTCAATAAAATGATTCTTCATGGATAATATTTTTCAAGGCATAGATTAGTAAATACAATACTCAATAATAGTATGAATGGGGATAAGTCTAAGACAAAAGCTAAGGTCACGTTCACTTCCCATTCCGTTTTCTGTCATTTTGGCAACTGAAAACGAAATCTGGAGAAATGGAAGCTGCCATTTTCTGAAAAACGATTCCTGAAAACCTGATACTGAAAACCTGTTTAGCTGGGATTTTTTCTGAAACTGGAAACTGTAATCTGAAAATGAGAATCTGTCAAGTTTCCTGATACTAGTACATACTTCAATATCAAATAAGTCGAAGTACAATCACAAATGTCAAAGGAGTCCAACTTGAAAGTCATCCCACAACTTGTCCGCTATTCCATCACGTCGAATTTCCATTTGTCGTGTCCGGCTTTAACTCATACTGTACTCTTCTCTTTCCAGCCCTCCTTGCACTCCATTAACGCCATCCTCCATATAATAATTTTGATAATCTTCAAATAGGATATCTTCACAAGAGTGAATCCTAATGAAGTTATGCAGAGCACATGTAGCAATAACAATTTGTGCTTGCTTCTTTAATGAAAAAGAAGGCATATGTTTCAGAATTGGGAACCTGGCCTTCAAAACTCCAAAGCAATGTTCGATGACATTGCGTAGGGATGAGTGATAATAGTTCAATAATTGCTTACTAGTTTTGGGTCCACCACCTCGATTGATTTCTTGAAAATGAGCAGGCTCCTTTGTTCGATATGGTGCTAGGAACCCAGGCATGTTCGCAAATCCGGAGTCAACAACATAATACTTACCTACATTGTATACAGAAAGTCAATTAGTATATAATAAAATGAGATTTATTTATGTACAAACAATAATAAGTACCTCGTGGTGGCATCGGAAACTTGTTATCTGGATTTGAAACTGTTTCACTAAGAATTCTAGCATCATTTGCCATGCCTTCCCATCCAGCCACCACAAAGGTAAAAAGCATATCGAAGGAGCATACACACACCACATTTTAAGTTGTTGTCGTCTTTCGTCCTCGATATGGAATTTGTTCAGCAGTAGGAACACATGCATCAATATGCACTCCGTCTATAGCTCCAATGCAATCCTATGTAAACACAAAAGTGAACATGATCAACAGAAGTTGTAAATGTTGTAACAGTAACTATGGAGTAAGTATTCCTTTACCTTGAAATATGGATCATGTCTAGAACCAGCAATTTTGTCAGGGACATTATCCAAATTTGGGGGAACAATAATCTTGTTCGAAAGCTTGACCACAGCTTTCAATACTTTGTCAAAGTACTTTGAGATGGTGGTCGTTGAATGTTGAAACCTTTCGGCAATGTCTCTAAAATCATTAGCGTGACCTATAGTCTTCAGGAAGATGCCAACTTGTTCTTCAACTGTGACTCTCTTCGTGGCTTTTAACCCACCATTTTGTTTCAACTCCTCACAAAGAGCAAGAAACGTATCTTTGTCCATCCGAAATTGCTCATATATCCTTCTTGGATTACCATGAAGAAGCTCTTTAACCCAAGCATGCCCAGTTTTGTCTGAGGTTCTGCATGGCACTTTTGACACATTGGATCTCTCTGTCTCCAACAACCACAAATGCAACAAGAAGTTCTGCAAATCATCATCGGAATCTGTATCGGAATCAGAAGCCATTTGTCTGCATTGCACAATAAGAAATTACAATCAAACTTTATTGAAATTGTGCTTACACCATAATAAGATAATCGTTCAACTAAAACATACAACCACAATCACACAAATATTCAACTCAACAACATTGTTCAACTAAAAATACAACCACAAACACTCAAACACAAACAATCAAACAAAAACACTCAATGTCGACGTCGTACAACCACACCAAACCTTGCAGCCATTCCTTCTTTCTCTTCTCTGTCATGCGCAGAAAGAGACCACGCTTCAGTGGATTATCATGAAGAACATCAATAGCCTTGACAAACATACTACTATCCACCTCCATCTCATCTAAAACCTTCATACACTCTATCATAATATCTAGGTCCTTGTGCTGCGAAGATACTTCATTCATTGGGCCTTTCACAGAAGATGCAGCAGTCTTGGCATCATGCCTATCATTCTTCCTTTTAGCCTCCTCCGCCATGCTAATTATTGCCATCTCTACCGCAGTTGAATAGGTGGATTTGTTTGCTTTCCTCTTCTTGCCTTTGACCTTTGCTTTGCCCTTTGCTTCCTTGGCATGCTCTGTAGCAGGGGCGGGGCTATGTAGGCTCTCGGGGGGGGCCCCGGCCCCCCAGAGAATTTTGAAACTTACGTATAAAGTCCTAGGAAATTCCGAGAATTACGTATAAACTCAATCTAACAACTATATAAAATTCGAGTGAAATATTATTAACAGCCCAGATTTGTAGTGTAGCGGAGAAGTCATGCAGTTCTAGCTAGAAGGTTCAGGGTTCGATTCTGATAGACAGCATTGCTTTTATAATTTTAACAGTTTTTTTCCAGTTTAATCCTCTAATTTTTCTATTTTGTCTTATAAATTCTGTAATTTCAAATAAATTCAGTCAAGTTCTTAAACTTTTACATTCATATTTTCAAAGGTTGTTTTTGGATATATAATTAATTAATTTTTAAAAACAATAATATAATCATAAATTCATATTCAAGGTATAAAACAATTACATGTTAAAATGCATGATAATTTTTGCTCACAGTATAAACATTTATTTTGAGTATAACATACTAGCAAACTTTAAATTATTTATATTTTGAGTTTTTTCTATTTTAATTAAATATGTCGTTATTATTTATTTTTATCTTTGGATTATCACAATAATTTACTAAATAAATCCGGCCCCCCCGAACTTTCAATCCTGGCTCCGCCCCTGCTCTGTAGCATCACCAGCAACAACAAAACCTTCCTCATTGTCCTCTCTGCTTTGTCCACCACTGCTATCTGAGACTTCTTGAGTGGAAACAAAAGCATTGCTACCAGAAGCAGTAGTGTCACCAAATAGGATGCAAAGGTTGTTGTATTCTGGACAACCATTCTTCCTAAAGCTGGTAATACCTTTTATAGCCTACACATGAACGTTCTAATCAATTCTAAGTTCAAAATTGAAACATATAATTAATGAAATTGAACGAAATGTTCAATTACCTGCTTCGACCATTTCTCCCAACGATCATCAGAAGCGGCCACCTTTCCCGTTGCAGCAATGAAACTAACTCCCGTCTCACTAATCATGCCCTTGAAATCCCTATGCCTTCTTCTAAGTAGATTAAATTTGTTCTTCAATTGCTCCTCGGTATAGTCCTTGTTAAACTTACTCTTTAAACCATTTTTATATTGAACCATCCTAATTTTGTGAATGTAGTAGTAATCTTGCTACCCTTCTTCACTTCCTCGACCATCAATTCAATCATATAATTCTTAACATGTTCGGGCCATACATCTTTTCCCTCTACCACCACACAATTATTATCATTGACAGCTTCTGTATTCTCCATGGGTCAAACTATAGAACAAACATGACAATAAACAAACAATCAACATGACAATCAACAAACAAACAACTTCGGTAAGTTTTGATGATCATGTTCTCAATCATTACATCCCGAGCTTCGATAAGATAAATCTACTCATTCCTAGCATTCCACTTCCTAGCAAATGTCACATACAAACCAAGCTTGGGGGTTAAACCCACAGGAGTCAAACAAAGTTCAGAAATTTCTTTATCATTCCCTAAAAGAGTGAAATCTTATCGAACAATCAAATCAAAGCTATGGCCTTTTCACTCATGCAAGCAGAACACACCACAACCATGTCTCTAATAATGAGCAAACTACAAACCCACTTCCTAAAGTTCAAAAATTTCCTCATAAAGAGCAGAACCCATGTAAACTAATCACAAATTCCTCTAC